CCATACCATTCTGTGATTCCAATTTGCTTTGTCTTGCCTGGGGAGAAGTTTAGGATGCTGATGGGACACACACTCCAGGCCAGGAGCTGGAAGACACATTTTTGCAGGAGCGGGGCACAGTTCCCTTAAGTAATAATTCAAAACCTCAGGCAAGTTCCTTAAAAATCAGTGGGTGACCCTGCTGAGGCCCCTCGGCTTCCCAACGGGGTTAAACTGACCCTGACACTCCACTGGCCGGTACATTTTCCCATTTCAAATTCTAAACCAGCAAGAGTAAGGGCTGAAATTTAAAATGAGGTGTCTACATTCTGAGCAGCGGCACTGAGCTCATTCATCCCTATTTCCCCAACTACTTCTCTCTCCTCGGAGTACGTTGCCGCTTGTCTCTATAGTAACCGTATTTCCAAAAAGAAAACAGCAAAGGGAAATTAAAAAAAAAAAAACAAAACACACAGCATAATGTGGAAAAACAGATAGGCACTTGTGCTATGGATTTTAATCTGCCCATTTTTTAGAACACATACCTCACCTATATCTGTAACACGTAACATAGCTCCCCCTCCAACAGTGATACCGGCATCACTGCGTCCTACCTGTCACATCTGATGATTGTAAGGTCAACCTGAGGAGGCATGACATTGACAAGGGAAAAATTGCACAGGTTGGATTGAGACGTACAATTTCTAATTCAGCCCCAATCATCCTGTCTGCTCAATGAGGGCAGAGAGCCCAATATTAATATTTTCCCTACTTTTATTTAATTCCCCATGTCAAAATTCCCATTACTGCCCAGTACAGGAGTCTGTTTAAATTCTCTCAGAGGAAACAGCATTTACGAGGCTCAGGCAGCAGAAAGGAAAGCTCCTGCAGCTCCGAGATTGGCTGCTGGTTCCGTTTCCATAGAAATGAACGTTCATTTGCTGAAAAATGGGGAGGCGCTTTAAAGAACCTTCTCCGGTTTGCGGGGACACAGTACATTGGTGGAGCCAAAGAGAAAGTAGCAGCACATGTAAGACTTTTGCTCAACAAGCACACATCCTGGCATGATACTCTTAATTTGTGACACGGTTATGAATTTAAACAAACCCCAAGGTTTTCACAGCAGCTAATTCATTCACATTATTCATAGAATGGTTCAAGTTGGAAGGCACCTTAAGGATCACCGAGTTCCAACCCCCTGCCCTGGGCAGGGACACCTCCCACCAGACCAGGTTGCTCAAGGCCACATCCAGCCTGGCCTTGAACCCCTCCAGGGATGGGGCAGCCACAGCTTCTCTGGGCAACCTGTTCCAGTGCCTCACCACCCTCACAGCAAAGAATTTCTTCCTATTTTCTAATCTAAATCTCCCCTCTTTCAGCTTAAAACCATTACCCCTCATCCTTTTACTCCACTCCCTGACAAAATTCCCTCCCCATCTCTCCTGTAGCCCCTTCAGGTACTGGAAGGCTGCTGTAAGGTCTCCCTGGACCCTTCTCTTCTCCAGGCTAAACAACCCCAGCTCTCTCAGCCTGTCTTCATAGCAGAGGTGCTCCAGCCCCCTGAGCATCTTTGTTGCCCTCCTCTGGACCCCTTCCAACAGGTCCATGTCCTTCCTGTGTTGAGGACTCCAGAGCTGGACACAGCACTCCAGGTGGGGTCTCACCAGAGCAGAGTAGAGGGATAGAGTCACCTCCTGCAACCTGCTGGCCTTATTATTGACAATAAAGGAACGACGTCTGTTTTTACAATCCACTGCTGACAGCAAGGGAAGACGGGAAGCTGGGAAAAACAATTAAAAAAACCCAAACCAATAACCAAGGGTCAGTAGGAGAGGCAAGTTAGTAGTATGATACTGTTTAAGCCTGTAAGTCACCCTCAATAAGCAAAAGCACCAAGATTCTTGCCTCGTGCTCTTTTAGACACAGTGCCTTCTCATCAATCAGCTTTTGAAAGTCCTTGTTACATCCTGCCCCAGTTACTCCATCCATAGTTGATTCAATACGCTCTTCACCTCCTCCAGCCTGCAAGAGGATCTGTCAGCCTAAAGGAAACTTGTTGCCCCCCACCTCTTTACAGCTTCATTGACTTCACAGAGTCACTAAAGAAAGATGGTAACGCAAGGCTGAGAGACTGTTCACACCAGATATTATCCCTGAGACTGTACTGGAGTGTAAGACATTAAATATACCAGTGTGCACAAGACTGCAGGTACAGTATCTTCCTCTCCCTGCATTTCTCCCGCACACCAACACAATATTTTTAAAAGCTGTCACGTGTTCAATCATGTTATTACAAACATTTTTTAGAATTATATATTTGTTTGGATTATTATACTATGGTTGGATTATTATACCATGGAAAACATTTTTGTATTCAGATTGTTTAAAGCTAGAGTTTAAAAGGTTCGTTTTTGGTTCGGTTTGTGTTTTTTTTTCCTCTGAAGTACATGTTGGATAAAGAGACTGAACAGCTGACATTAGTATTATTTGGGCCCCTTCCCACAAAGAAGACATTGAGGGGAGACCTTCTGGCTCTCTCCAACTCCCTGAAAGGAGGGTGTAGCCAGGGGGGTCGGTCTCTTCTCCCAAGGAACAGGCCATGGGACAAGAGGAAATGGCCTCAAGTTGCCCCAGGGGAGGTCCAGGTTGGAGATTAGGAAAAATGTTTCCCCGGAAAGGGTTATTGCACATTGGCCTGGGCTGCCCAGGGCAGTGGTTGAGGCCCCATCCCTGGAGGCATTGAAAAGCCGGGTTGACCTAGTGCTTAGAGACATGGTTTAGTGATGGCTTTGATCAGAGTTTGGTTGATGGTTGGACTAGATGATCTTAGAGGACCCTTCCAACCTGGACAATTCTATGACTCTATGATAAAAGAATCCTAAGGCACATCTCCAGATTCTCAGAAACTAGGTCACCACAACAAAGATTTGCTACCAGAGCAGCAAGGCTCAGGACTGTGAAGAAGCCAACATCTTCCATAGTGGTATTAGCAAGCCCCTCCCTATCCATCACGCACTGAAGGGAACCCTCATCAGTACAGTTAAATGATTTGCCAAAGTAACTCAATCTGGCAAAAAGCCATTCCTTTAACTGGTAAAAAGGTCCACTGCGGAGCTGCGCCAGTCTAATTGTATTAAAGCCTGTTGAACAGTTTTTGGCACACACACACACAGCCCTTGAACACATAACCCTATTTCCCCTTCACTTCCCAAACCCTAGTCCAAAATACCCAAAGCACTAAAAAAAAAAATCCTCAACACTGTAACAGCTGGATTGAGACATTGAAATTTGGCCTTTATCCAGAGATGTTTGATAAAGCTCCTAAAAGTTGGTAACAAGGCTACAAGAATTCAACAGTAACTATGAATCGCCACGTAGCTACAAATTGTCCTTCAGAGAATAATGAAGGGCAAAGCCAAGATAAAGCACTAACAGTGGAAGAGTATCTGTTCAATAACATTAAAAATTTGTCTAGATGGATGCAACAAGATAAACTAGGTTCAAGCAGAAGTAACAGAAACCAGCGTATTAGAGGGATACTGTTTTTATGGTACCAACACAAAGTGATAGTAACTTTTGCATAGAAATTGCCACTTACAAAACAAAATAAATGGTTTATAGAGCTGTAGATCAGCATTAATATCTGCATTTTAGAGATGAAATAAAAACAGCTTAAAGAAAAATAAACTTAATCAACTCTCTCAAAATGGAGACAAAAAGCTCAGGAAGTGCTATGTAAACTAGGCCAGCAATGCTGTATTTATATTTTCATATATATTTGATTTATTTCAATGCCTTTATACCCCTGAAGTATTAACATTAAATGCCAGAGATAATGCTTTACCCTTCCACAATGACTCAATTTACAATCTAACATGAGACTTATGCAAAACATTTTCTCCCCAAATTAGTGTTCTGGTTTGTTTTTCATATTAAACCTTACTAAACTATTTTTGCATTCTGTAAGTGTCAAGAAAAGCAGTGCTTTATTTCAAAGCAGAATGGAGCACAGAAACTTTTACGACCTCCAAGAAAAGGCTGGGTAAACACATTCCTTTGAACCTACAATCTCTTCTGTTTTCACACTGACAAGAAAATGGTAAGAATATTTAAAACGAAAAGGTATATTTGAGTACATTCACAAATGTGATTCCTCAAAATATTTTTACTCTTGCATAGTGACACTTTTTAGATCTGGCAGAACTTCCTTCTCCAGCAGCATAGTTGCTTTGAAAGGAAAACAAGCAGCAGAGAACCTTCCCCTATAAAACAAGACCTACTGATTCCTCGCAGAAGACAAGACAATGAAGCTTTCAAAACCAACTAGACTGAAGCCACTGCCACAACACCTCCCTTGTTGTGCTGTTATGCAACAGGGTTTTTTTTAATTTTTTTTTTTTTTCTTAAATTATAATTCTCAGTAAGAAAGAATTATGGGATTACTCTTTTATACTCTAACATACTGTATGAAGAATGCAGTAGCAAGTAACAAGGACTCTCAGGACAACAGGTTTTCTTATAATGAAATACACCAAAGAGATCAAATTCAGTACTGTAAAGATAAAGTCATAATTTCAACATTTAAGTGTCTTTGAATGTTGCAATCCTATTTCTGTAATTTTAAAGTCAATGTACTGTAATTATTATTCATCATTTTAACTGAGAATAAATCAAACACACTCATCACCACATTACCATTTTGTTTTAGAAATAGCATAAAGGTTCACTTGATAAATTTTTCCCCATGCATGAATACCTTGCAGGATTCTTGTATCCTCTACTGAGAACACATGCAACTTGTCAAAGATTCACTGGTTGTTTCCATCCTGTTTCAACACCTTTTCCAATTGCATTCTGAAAATGCTTTCAGTAACACAGTATAAATTTGCTTCACTAAGTGCCTCATGTGCTTAATACTTGCATATCTTTCTAGTCCTCCATCTCACACTAATGCTAGCATTTAAACTTGTATCTTTTATTCATCTAAAGCTGATGATAAATATATGATCTTTCATACTCACCATTGGCGCTACTTAGAATCATGTTTCCGGAGTTTCTTACTTCATCAAATTTTGCAAAGATTGTTTGCAACCTGTAAAGAACAACAACAAAAATATTTTTACATCTCTGAAATCCCCCAGGTTACTGGTAAAAACAGAAATCAGTTTATTATCACATACAAAGCAGTAGTACAAGGGATTACGGGCATCTAGAAACAATTCCCAAAGGCCTCTTCAGTCGAGCATCTTCAATCCAATGCCCAGAAAATTAAGACAACTTAGCAAAGAACAAAACTGAGCACCTTTATCAGCATGATTAGAAATAACTAAAATTCAGGTTCAGTAATACTATATATTGGGTTCAGATCACTGTGATATTACTCTATTTATACACAATACAAAGGCAACAATTTGAACAATGGAATGTTCATGTGTGTGGGGGGAAAAATAGCGATTACTATTTCATTTCTTCTGAGACAATTACAGATTTTATTCAACATTTTTGTTCCTCAACACTTCCTCAGTTTTGTTATGAAAATACTTTTATAGTACTTTGCACTTCAAAGAAAAAAGGAAATATTTTTTTTCTAAACTTAAGGTACACTAACCACCTCAGTTATGTTCAACGCTTGGAATAGAAAACACACTACAAGTGTTTCAAAACCTGTAAAAGTATATAAAAAAAAAATATCAAAAACCCAACCCCCAAACAAACAAAAACCACCAAAAACCAAACAAACACCCCAAAAGCTCAAGATTGCAATGTAGTCCCACAAGGGTGAAAAAGCTATTCAAGCAAGAAAGCTGGCAAAACACTTAAAACAGCCATTTCTCATCACTTCTGCAGAGAACTCAATAAAAGCAGTGGAAGGATCTCACAGAAGAAACGTGACCCACAGGCCAGCGATGAGGTTTGTACTGACAATACACTATTCAACGGCAAACAATTGAGAACATTTTCTTACATTTCTCCAAAGATTCGTCTGCATTTTAGACTAATCAGAATACGCTAATATCTAACAACGCAAGGCATGTGAAATTTTAGCTACAAGACTAGCAGGACTGAATCCTGACCTTAAATGAAGAGTTAGGAACTACAAATCTCATGGTAGTCTGCATCTCTCCAACCAGGGAGAGGGATCCTAAAACAGAGGGATCTGGACAGGCTGGATGGATGGGCCAAGGCCAATGGGATGAGGTTCAACAAGGCCAAGTGCCGGGTCCTGCACTTGGGTCACACCAACCCCCTGCAGCGCTACAGGCTGGGGGCAGAGTGGCTGGAGCTGCCTGGCAGAAAAGGACCTGGGGGTGTTGGTCACCTGTGGGCTGAAGATGAGCCAGCAGTGTGCCCAGGTGGCCAAGAAGGCCACCAGCATCCTGGCCTGTGTCAGGAACAGTGTGGGGAGTAGGAGTTGGGAGGTGATGGTCCACCTGTACTGGGCACTGGTGAGGCCCCACCTCGAGGGCTGTGTCCAGTTTTGGGCCCCTTCCCACCAAAAAGAAGTTGAGGGGCTGGAGTGGGTCCAGAGAAGGGCAAGGGAGCTGGTGAGGAGAGGCTGAGGGAGCTGGGGGTGTTGAGCCTGGAGAAAAGGAGGCTGAGGGGAGACCTTCTGGCTCTCTCCAACTCCCTGAAAGGAGGGTGTAGCCAGGGGGGGTCGGTCTCTTCTCCCAAGTCCCAGGTGATGGAACAAGAGGAAACGGCCTCAAGTTGCCCCAGGGCAGGTTCAGATTGGAGATTAGGAAAAATATTTCCACGGAAAGGGTTATTGCACATTGGACTGGGCTGCCCAGGGCAGCGGTTGCCCCATCCCTGGAGGGATTGAAAAGCTGGGTTGACCTAGTGCTTAGAGACATGGTTTAGTGATGGTTTTGATCAGAGTGAGGTTGATGGTTGGACTGGATGATCTGAAAAGTCCCTTCCAACCTGGACAATTCCATGATTCTATGAAACAGGTACAGTGCAGCTGCATTACCAGGACTAGAGCCTGTACTACCCAAATCAAAATTTGCTAAAAGAGCAAATACAGAAAATCTCTGTCTACAACTCAAGAATTCAAATTATTTTAAGAGAAACCCAGAAAAATGGGTAAGAGCAGTGCTTGGGTATGAAAATTCTCACAATACATAAAGAAGCAAAGTCAAGGACATCCAAAGATTTAAGTTCAACGTTTCCTTATGCCCACACCACCTTGACTCAATGATCCGTATGGAGAGGCTGTGCAGAGTCTACCTTCCCTGACACACTGCATACCCCTTTCATTCACTGAGACCTCATTTAGGTAATAAAGAGGAACGTGATAAAATCATAAAACCCAGCCAGACAACTGGCTGAGCCTGAGCCTTTCCCCACGCTTTCCAATGTTTTAGGACTCTGATAACGCATTGTTTTTACTTGCCAAATACTTCAAAGCAGTCTGCTACAAAGCAAATTTGTCCTGTACTTCATGGGCCCACAACAAGAACCACCAGGTTTAGCCGAGAGTTCCACAAAAAGGCCTACCCTACACTGCAAGCAATTAAAAGGTCTATTTATAAATCAAAGGCAATTTATGCCAAAACGGGGTTTTTTGCACTCAGACTTGAGAAAGTGTAACTACAGTTACACTAGGAAATGCTTTTTGGGTACTCGCATTTACTAATGACACGTGGAATCCCATTAACACATGCTTTCATAAAGCACATCCCATGCACATAAAGCACATCCCATAAACACGTGCTTTCAAATGTACAAAGTGAAAGGCTCACACAAGAATCAATAAACACAATAATGCATTATGCCATCCTGCTTTCATGAAAGGAAATTAATGCATTGGCTTCATGTGCGCTATAGGAAGTATTTTTATTGTTTATCAGGGAAACTGATGAAAAATACTGTTTATGACTGCGAGTTCCCCTCAACCCTGCTGGATTCCATACTAAACACTGCATTAATCGTCTGCCTCGTTAATGAGGATGACTTCACACCACATCAGGAAGGCTGCAACTGTTATCCTGAGAGAAAACTGAACACGAAGACTAGAGAGATTAACAGATTTCCATTAAAATGTCACTCTTGTTTTTATATCCTGCTAGGCTGATGTTACGCATTTGGCACACATATTTTAAAGAATTCAAAGAGAAAAAAAAATACTTCCTGCTCTTTTGAACTTAGTTTTCAAAAATGCTTTCCTGACTAAGTTTTGAACTTAGTTTTCAAAAATGCTTTCCTGAGCATTTTAAGCACAAGAGAAAAATGAAATGCTTCCTTATAAATATGTCATAACAACATACATGTTGCCTCTCACTCTGAGCAAAGTATCTGATAAAGTACTTACTCTAGGAACATGAAAAAAAAAGTGGTTGTCAGCCCTGGATGCTACGTAGCCAGTGATGCAGGCTGGAGAATACCAGAGTACTGCCACTCCTTAAGCTTTCAGAGCAATTCTTAACAACCAGAGGCACACTCTGTAGTATTTTGGCATAATTTAAAAATAAATAAATAAACAAACCCAGTAAAACATAGCTGAGAAAATGGCCAAGCACCACTGTAGACCCAACCCTCTCTTTAATGCAGCTCACAGGAATGGTACTACTACCTTGCAACGATTCTCACAAGTTCCTTCCTCCCTCTCTTCCCACCCAGCTCTTCATGCTACCATCTTCTCTTCCTGTATTTCTTCACACAGCCAAAGGCAATATGGACTAGGGCCTTTAAAATTATTGCAACCACATTCAATTTAAGAACTTTTACAGGAGTTCGGATCCTGGCGAAAGAAAGCCCGGCCAAGAGGAATCCAATAAAGTTTACAAAAGGCTGGGTGAAGACGGGTTTCACCGTCATCAGCAGTGAGGAATGTTCTTTGAGAAAAGCAGCATTATTACTCCTTTATTTCATATCTGCAAGCCCGAGTCTGGATACGACATGCATAATCAATCAATGAAGTCATCAGTCAACACAAATACTATGTCGCCAGTGAACAGAAATATTATCTTTTTTCTCCAAAAAGGCACAGACAGGTCTTCTGCAACTTCACATATGGAAGGAACAATCCCCATTGACGAAAACCACATGTTCAGAAGAACAAGCCACTTCTGAATGGGCTGGATGATTGTTGCCGGCTCAGTGAATGAATGAAGTTGTAGTGCTTTAAATGGGGGCTCCTGGCAACCTGCTAAACCCACTCCTGTGAGAGGTGACAGGTCTCTATCAAAGGATTAACATATTATGATGACTACATGTTCAAAGAGAGGAATACATACCCTTCTAAGACACAGCTCCAGCTGATATGCTCACACATAGAAATATAGAGAACACGCACTACACTTCTAGACTGAAAAGCTGTTATTTATGATGATGCTTGATGGGGTTCAACTGTTTGCATGACAGGCAGAGGGGGAAGACCTAAAGGTTTAGACCTTGTGGTGGAGAGGCAAAAAAGCACCACTCCCCTGTCAACAGCAAGAGGATAAAGAAGAAGAGAGGATGGTAACTAGTCTGTTCCTCGTGTCCAAAGTGAGTCTAACGCAGGAAATGGCCCATATGAAACCTTGCACTTATTTTCCATTACTTCCCCCTTCCAGAAAAAAAAAGAAAATGGATCTTGCACAGACATGTGTCCACATCTGGACAGGCAGACAGAGCTCATCTACAACACAAACTAGACAGATAAGTCGAGTGCACATGCCACATAAAATCCGGTATTCAGAAATGCATACTGCAAAAACATATCAGGATATGAAGCTGTGGCTCTAGACATAAGAGCTAAACAAATAACTGCTTTTATACATTTATGTTTCTTAAGTAACATTGGGAAAAGTTGTCAGATGACTTCCTGAAAGCCTTAAAAAGCTTTTAGCACTCAGACTAAGCAACTCCTATCCAGATCTGCATATACTATTTCCATTCAGGGAAGATTGGTCACACAGATTCTATATTGTAACAAATCCAATTTGGCCCCAATAAAACAAAACCTGTTCACTATTCTTGGCTCCCAGAACAAGAAATAATACATTTGTAAATACTGAGAGTGTATGTTCTAACTTACAGGCCCAATACCAGACTGTCAAACCTCTTTGGCAGCGACTTCAACATAAGGGGAAACAACATCCAAATTTCCAACCACTGACGTGATACTGATGTTTCTGAAAAGGGCATGTGCTTCAGGCAAAAAAGCCCAGTATTATTCTGAGATTTTTAAATTGAAAAATAACAAATAGAATGAGGAAAACTCAATGATTTCATTTATAAACGGAACTAACAAATTACTCTCTGTAAAGAGTAAAAATGCATTGAAGAAAAATACGATAGTAGCAAGTAGAGTTGAACTATGAAATTAAGATCCCATCTTCTTTTACTGGCAACTTAAGACACCACCAAGTCCAATAATCTTCTCTAGGAAATCCAGTATTGTCCATAAAGGCAAACCTACCATTATTAAATTACAAACTACATTTGGGCTTTATATAGACACAACATGTATATACCATTTGCATATGTAAGGAAGTTGAAAAAATTTCACAAAACAATGCTTGATTAGCTTTCCTGCCTTCCTTTCAGCCACCACGAGCTCTTATTTGCAGTGCTTCAGGGCAGAGTGCATTCAAGGCGCAACACACAGATCTCTAATGTCTAATTTCTTATGTAAACTAAACAAGTCTACATTCTATTAAATCATGTGCACACCAAAAACTGAAGGAATGGGGTTTTCTGCTAATATTTATGTTTACACACAATTTTTAATGCACTCTCATACAGTGAAGGAGCTGCAGTGAGGTTCTTTAAGGCTGAACTCAACAACCGAGAAGAGCTCTGTCTGAACCACAGATTATCTGTAATGCTTAAAACCCTTAAAACCTACCCAGACACACAGATATGAACACAGACTCCCCTCAAAACAATGATAAGATGATACTCTACATCAAAGGGTTTTTTTCCCCACGGATCATAGCTCCTGCATAACCACATGAAAATTTTAATGCGTCTAAGTGAAGGGAAAACTTCTGACAGGCACTGGGGAAGAAACGTCTTAAATTAGGTCTGCCTCTGAAGGAACAACAGTCTGAGTTACCGTAGAGCTAATCTGTCTTCCCTGAGCTTTGTCAACCGCCTTCTTGCTCGTGTGAAGGAGTAGGAAGAGACTACAGGATCTCTGCTTTGTCAGCGATGGATGGGACAGAGACTGGTAGCCTTATGCTCAAATCAGATCTTCACTCCCTCCTCATCCCAACATGAAAAACTACAGTGGAGGACATGGCACTGTGACTCAGCTCGTGCATCATTTCACACTCGCCTTGGCTGCCAGGTGCAAAATAGTTGAGATTCAGTGGCAACAACCCGTTTAACATGCACCAAGTAGAGCTTTGCTTCTTCACGTACATGCAAAGGGTAGAACTGTGCCTGCTTTCAGACAGTAGAAATAACAATTTGGCACCCACTGCAACTAAATTAGAAGCTGTTGATTGCCCTGAGGATACAAAGCTCCTATGGTGTTTAATCCTATTTGGATCCCAAGATTTACTCAGTTTGTATCACACAGCAACGTGAACAGGGTGAGTGTCAGACCCAACATTCTCAGCACAAACAAAGGCTGTCTTTATCTGCACTCTTCTGCTCTTACTCTCTGTCCCAAAAGATGTCCAAGACCCTATCTTAACAGAAGAAGGATCTTCTCTGGTATGATCCAATTACCTGCTATAAAACTCAACTTTTGGAACTGTAGTAATAACATGGCTTAAACTTCTGTGGTAACCATATCATCTCTTAACAGTCTAAAATTGTGACAGCCATTAAACAGAAGAGAAGGTGTACAACTTCCCATTCCTATTGGCAGGGGAAGCTCTTGTCCAAACAGGTTGAGCTCTGCCTGGAACATGAAACAAATTCAACACCTTCCTCCTATGATATTTTGATACCCTATAAATCATCATTCGAAACTAGGGCTAATAGTTTTCTGGAGGGATCTGATGAGGCACAGTATCCATTCTGATATTCTCTCTGACACCATGTAGTAGATATATTCAACTTTATCAAAATCAGATAAGAGGAAGACTCTAAGTAAAGTGGCATGTCAATTGACAAGGTGTTAACACCTCAAACTGTTTCAAAAAGGAACTGGAAAGATTTTATTGTATAAACAGTCTTTCCCACTAAGTACAATTTCAAGCTCTGTCTAGCTTTCTTAATTAAACAAATTGTTACCAAGGTAGCAACAAAACAATGGGTGTTTTTATTTCCTATGAACTAATCTACACGCAACACAGAACAGTCTTTAAAGAATTGCTTTTCAGAAAGAGAAAGGATGGATGAAGTACAGGTTTTCAAAACTTCCTTGCATCTTTTCCAAGAAGCAACTAAACATCCAGTGTCCTATGATGACATATGTAACAGCTAGACAGCAAACACTCCTTTTGAATATTCCTTTCTCATTGAACCCCAGCTTTGGAACTGGAAAACAGTTATTCTGAAAAGCACCTTCCTCTCATCTCACTGTACCCATAGCAAACATCCAGGGTGGAAAGGATTGGTCTGATGACATTAGCAAGAAGCAAGGAAGGACAATTTTTCCATTATTACTATCTTCAAGAAAGCAGTAGCTTGTTGGTTTGCCATACTTAAATGTGTGCACACACACTTGTTCTCTCTCACACATGCACAATACATGAAAAGTATTGATTTAAGTGCTTCATTTGAGACTCTTCTCCACTAAGGCTAAACAGCAACTCTTTAATAAGGAGCAAGATGTATATATTCCAGTCCTTTCGAATTATTTGCCCACTGCACTTAGCACCTATTTCCTTAATTCTGAAACATTGTTCTACTACTGTTCAGCTCTCAGCTTCTCTTAAAGTCATGGGATTTTAACTGGTGAATGGAAGGCTGCTTTTCATCATATACCTGCATGCCTCTCCCAAGCAGAGAAGACAACAGCAAAAAAAAAAAAAAAAAGACTCAAACACCAGTAACATCACTATGGAAGCAAAACTAACTATAAGACAAAATAAAAATTGTAATAATTTAAAACCAAAGTTTTTAGTGAGTTTAAAGTTCTGATAACAGTAACAGAATGGCTCAGGGTTACAAAATCAAAAGAGTTAACTCACCTCCCAGGAGGAATTCCTCTCTTCGTAAGATCTATTCGTACTTTCTCTCCTACATGTCTATAAACCTCTACAATGGCTAGTATGGCAGCGTCCCTCACCTGTGAACACAGAGTTTAAATTGTTAATCTCAGGATTACAGAAACCAAAACAACATTTGCTGACAACCCACTAATCTTCCAGCTTCCATCCATCTGCATGCCAACTCATTTCACCAAACAGTTGAAACAGCGAGGATGGAAGGGAAAGGAAATACAACTGTTATTTCAAGATGGTATTTGTTCCAAGTTAGAGCATCTCCAGATGGCAAATGAAAAATCCTAGAAATAACAGCTCTAGAGGGAATTTCTGGGATTGACATAAGAGTAATATTTATGGGGAAAAGAAGTGCTTTATTTAGGACTCTAGCAAAGTAGACAATACTTCCAAAAGTTCGTCCCTCCACTCAGTCTTGACGCTTTGTCTTGCATTTATTTGTTTCCACACACAGCAAGGCCCTTCTGGAAAGGGAACCTGACTGCCCACAAGAGCGGGCCAAAGCGATCAGCACTTTATTTCCTTCAACAGGAATTACATAGCATCACGTGCATCACGTAAGCACAAGAAAGGGAATAAGACAAGATGGGGAAGGGGAAAGAACAGTTAAGGCGATGGAGTGTCTCTTTAAAAAATTTAAACCATAGTCATCACAATAAAAACTGCCAAAAATGCTTGTTAGTAAACACCATTATTCTCTGCAAACAATTACTGGAATGACTTGAGTATTGTTCTTTGTAACAGCTTGAACTAAGCTCACAATTGCTTTATCAAGATATGAACTATGTCTTCACTAATGATCAACAAACAAGACAAATTCTTAACAGATTTTCTATAGAAGAACGTTATGCTATACAGAGGAGACAAGGACATTGCTGCACCCAGAAAATAAGCACAAAGGCCTATCCTATTTAGTTGCCCATCTTCTACCAATGTTACCTTCTTCCTGTATTCTTAGCCTTTTTTCTCAGACAGAACTTCAGATAAATTGAGCCAGATTTTATCCAGTTCCATTCAAAGGTTTTCTGAAGTTCAGATGTCACCATTATGAACTGCATCTTGATTTTCACTGCAGTTGTTTTCACTTGATTAACTGATTTTAACTCCAGTCCTTTTGCATATGCTCAAATGCCATCTGGGTTCCATTTAGGAAATTATTACCTGTCCTGCACACAATAACGTTATCTTCAGCAAATTTGGCAGACTATTACAGGTCTCACGTAGGGGGTCCTTCTGGAGGCAATTCTTCCTGTCAATTTTTATTTATTTTTTTTATTTTCTTTCAACATGCTCTATAAGAAACAATTGTTTTCGGTAATGACTAGTTTCAACCTCTGAAGACAACACTAAAGGGGCCGGTGTATCGCAACACTGCTGCCTTTACAACTCTACTTTCATCTTCCAAAGGATGGACTGATTGAAAAGCAAATGGGTTTACTGTTTCTTATGGTAGAAAACAATGATCTGTTGTATACAAGCAAGACCATCAGCTTTTCTTAAATGCCTACATTTCTTTTGCTTTCATTCTTCTGTCAAAGTATAGTTGTTGAAGTACTAATTAGTAATGAAATCCTTACCTGACTATTTGAGTCACCAAATGCTGTACACAGATGTGGTACCAACTTGCTAAGGATTAATGGTTGTGCACCGTAACTAAAAGAAAAAGAAAAGAAAAGTTAATATTTTTTTTTAATTTACAGAAAAACAAAAATACTTTGAACAGAAGCAAACTCCCAGCTTAACCCTGATACAATAGAAACTTACATCAATCAAGCTCTGTCTCTCTCACTAATCCTTTGTCTACTTTTAAATAAGACAAAAATACTATACCTTTAGTTTTTCTTCCAGAAAGCCCACAAGGTGTTTGATTTTTCCCATTTATTAATTTAATTGAATCAGACTTCCCAAAGTATTAGTTTCAGAGAAAAATGACGTTCAGAAGAAGGACAGAACCCTTACATCTCCATAGAAACAAAAAGCTTACATGTTTAAGGTAGCAATAAGACACAAACACACTCCTTCTCGGGATCGGAAATTCTTGTGTTTAAAACCAACAGCAAGGCGTTCCCAAATGTACTATAAAAACAGAAATAATTGTCTTCGATTACAAGGAGCACAATACAGTGTAATTCTAGCCACATTTTATAATTACATTCATAACAGTTGAAAAAAAAAAAAACAAACAAAAAAAAAACACTAAACCCAAAACAACAGGAGACAGGACCACTGGAAAAGTAAAGGCACTTCTCAGATAAAATTAAGTTATAAAATGCACAGTACGGAACATGACCCAGATTATTCCTCCACCAAAAACAACTTCTAAAAAACATCCTTCAGAGATCTGAATATTTGAGAAATAGCTCTTAAAAACATACAGAACTGTTACAGTTAACACACACAAAACAAACACTAACATGACAGGCTACTGACTCAAGCACAACTTGCTATATTCTTCTTGCTTCGCATTCCGTTTCCCTGCCAAAAAATCCCCTCTCGTCCATTTTCTCTCGTCCTCCCCCACACCCCTGCTGCCCACTGCTCTCCTGCTTTTGCTCTCAAGTTATTTCTTCGCTTTTCAATGATTTCTTCCCCATTCACCCTGATTCCTTTGATTCCATGTTTGCTCTGCTTTCATTTTGTGCCGGTGCCGCTTCCCGTAGTAGAATTCCTGGCTGGATAAACCCTCACTTACCTTCTTGCGCACTCTTTTTTCTCATCTCCTGCCTTTAAGCCCTTTTCCCCTCTCCGTTTACTTCTTTTTTTTTTTTCTCCCCCCCTTCTCAGATGATCTTTTTACCTTCCCATCTCCTTGCCCGTCCTCTAGCTGTGTGTGACGATGGAAAAAGCGGGAACGTCAGGCTTCGGAGCCTTGGGATTCCGGGGCTGGAGGAGGAGGAGGAGGAGGGGGGATGCCCAGCAGCAGATGCAGCGGCTCCGACCGCAGCCCCCCCAGCTGCAGCACTGCCATCCCAGCCTCCCCCCGCCAGCATCCGCCGGGAAGCGTTGCCTAGCGATGGATGCACACCGGCAATTCCATGTTTTGCAGCCTTCCTATCACTCCCTCCGGCAATAACTACATATAACGAGATTCCATATAAATCCGCTAAAATGTATTAATACCCATTATTGCCATCATTATTCCTCTTCCTCAAAAAAAAAAATAAAAATCAAAACCCTCCTAAACAGCGCCTGATCAACAAAGCAAGGAACGCTGCATCCTCTTTATATGAAGTAGCACACTTATTAGCAGACCTAAAATTCTCCAATTAGAGCCTCGCTTAATCGTTTTGTCCCATCTGTGGTTTCTTGTTTGTGTGTTTATACTTCGCTACCTTGAGAGGAAACAAACCTTAAACAAGCAGGGTACGGCTTGCCAAAGCTGCGCAGCTGAACAACAAAGAACGGGATTTCATGGAAGAAAACATCCTTCCGATGAACGCTCCCTCCCAGACAAACATGGGGAAAAAAAAGGAAGTTTCCTTGCTGGGTGCACAAAAATACAGGTGGAAAGGTAACTGTAGAGTACTGAAAGTAGACTGAAGAGAAATTTAGCCTTTCCCTAAACTAACCTTACTTTAAGGGCTGAATTCTTCTAACCAGAGAAATTCAAATGGCTGCTTACAAATTTCAGCTCTCACAACTTGCCAGCAACAGTTGGTGTCAGCCTCCCTTTGTCCCATTCATGCACTTATACCACCCATATTCTTATTTTTATGCTTTCCTGCCCATAAACAGCTACATCTACTTCCCGGTCATTAAAAAAAAAAAACCCTACAACAAAATAAACAAACAAAAAGCCAAATACATTTGAAACAAGACAAGGGAATTGACAACAGGACAAATGAAATATTATTCAACCACACACTAGAAGAGACAAGATGAGTTGACTGGAAAGAAACTTACAGGATTTATCACCCAAAAAATTATTCCGCCCAACTCTTCCAAAGGGACATTTCTCTGAGGCAAAGGGAGCATAAAACTCTGTATTTCAGTGCTGGAAGCACAGGAAAGACTTGTCTGGTTTAGTCCCTGCAGTGAAGATGATTGCTGCTTTTCATCCAAATTTTTAACGATACATGAACTGTTCTAGAGCACACAGCTGAAGGGAGGCTTCTCCTGCCAAAAGGGAGTTACAAGAAGACCCATATCTTCTCTTACTTACACACACTATCCCTTGGACCCCTTGAACCTTGTATTACAGAATCACAGAATGACATGGGGTTGGAAGGGACCACTGGAGACCATCCAGTCCAACCCCCTGCCAAAGCAGGTCCACCCAGAGCAGGTTGCACAGGAACATGTCCAGGTGAGGTTTGAATGTCTCCAGAGATGAAGACTCCACCACCTCTCTGGGCAGCCTCTGCCAGGGCTCTGCCACCCTCACAGGAAAGAAGTTCCTCTTCATGTTTAGATGGAACTTCTGATGTTCAAGTTTGTGCCCATTTCCTCTTGTCCTGTCCCTGGGCACCACTGAGAAACGACTGGCCCCGTCCTCCTGACACCCACCCTTGAAGTATTTATAGGTGTTGATCAGATCCCCCCTCAGCCTTCTCCAGACTAAAAAGATCCAAGTCCCTCAGCCTTTGCTCATAAGGGAGATGCTCCAGGCCCCTCATCATCTTTGTAGCCTCTGCTGTACCCTCTCCAGCAGTTCCCTGTCCTTCTGGAACTGGGGAGCCCAGAACTGGTCCCAGTGCTCCAGATGGGGCCTCCCCAGGGCAGAGCAGAGGGGCAGGATGACCTCCCTCCACCTGCTGGCCACACTCTTCCTGATGCCCCCCAGGATGCCATTGGCCTTCTTGGCCACCAGGGCCCATTGCTGGCTCATGGGCATCCTGTTGTCCACCAGGACTCCCAGGTCTTTCTCCTCCGAGCTGCTCTCCAGCTGGTCACCCCCAACCTGTCCTGGTGCAGGGGGTTGTTCCTCCCCAGGTGCAGCACCCTACACTTGCCCTGGTTGAATTCCATCAGGTTCCTCTCTGCCCAACTCTCCAGCCTGTCCAAGTCTCGCTGGATGGCAGCACAGCCTTCTGGGGTGTCAGCCACCCCTCCCAGAGTTGTGGCATCAGCAGATTTTGTATCATCAGTATTCCTTCTGATACTGTGACTATGGTTCAAAGGGGATGGAAGCTTCTTTCCACCATTTCAGTGTCCAGCCTAACAACTCTTCAGAAACTGAAAAACAGACCAACGAGGGCCAAGCATGACACCACCACATTCTGTATCAGAAATTGTTCAAATGAAGGTGTCTCCAAGATGCTCTGCTGTGCACTTATCCAAATGCTATCACTGTAGAGGCAGGTGTACTTTCAGGTCTGCATCCCAGGTACTTGGGAGCATCTTGGGCGCTGGAACACGTCGCTCACGAACTACTTGCACTTAGGCATCAAAAAAATGCTGCAATGCCTCTTCATCAAGGAATGTGACCAAAACTATATTCCCTGATAAGGGAAGGGCATATCTTTGTGGATGACACTAGTAGACTTTGATGCCTATATCCCAGTCAGATCTGTGACTAAATCATGTAAGAAGATGCCACACATTGGAAGGGAGATAAGTATGTTTCTATAGTTGCCTAACATGCTACTTATTTTTCCATCAGGCAAACAAAGCAACTGAGAACAATTTTCTCACTGCAGGTCAAGTCTGCAAAATCTTACTCCCTGAGCACAAACATTCAACTCTGTATCTATGAATAAACCAAGCCAGGATTTATCATGTAAAAGAACTTCATTTTTGTTCACAAAAAAATAAGACGTTCCCTATTAACTTCGGCACTTAAAACTCGGAAGCAGATTTTCTTCAGAAATTAAATAGTAAACTCCTACTGACAACCAGGGTCCTCAGAGTCCCCTGTAACATCATTGCCCAAACAATATAATCCTGTTAAATAATCCTACGTTTTTCAGACTCATGGAGTAGAAATGTAAGATTTAGCACTTGGAAGCCACTTGGAAGGCTAAAAACTGTGAGAAGGTTTGCTTAACTCAAACTTCAATCTAAGATAACAAGTCAGAGGGCAACTTATCCCCACCTCAGTTTGGGCAAGGTTCACACAGCATCCTCGTCACACATGGAGAAAGCCAGATTTTCTAAGTACCATCTCAACTGCAGGACTACTCCTATGTGCTTCAGTACAAAGCTAATTTAAAAATAAATTCCGAGCTAAATAGATTTATTTATTCCCAATATGCAAACTCAAACCCAAGAGGGTGTTTTTAACATGGTTTAATTAACAAAGTCCTGCCACATGAAGTGAAACCACCTACTCAGAATTTAGGTACGATAGGCAAAAACTGCAGAATTGAATGGTGCCAGATCTTTGTCTTCAGCTGATCAATGCATCAGTGTCAATCCATTAAGAACATCTTATTTATACCATTAACAGCCACCAAAACATTGTGATGTATTCAAAATCAAGCTCGTGCATAAGTCATAAGCTCACTGGAGGCCTACATCCAAATCTACATGAAGTGAATCATACCATGGGCGGTGCTGCTTCATCCATCAATTTCAATATAAGGTTCTGTGCTTGCTCTCGAACTTGGTCTTTGGCATCTCCCATACGATCTATCAAAGGCATGAGAACTACAAGAGAGGGGGAAAAAAAAAAAGAAAAAAAATATTAAACACTCAATGAAGATTTTCTCATACTTAAGGATGTTTCCTGAAACAGATTTAAGATACATCTCGTTCAAAAAATAAAAGCTGATTTTAAGTTGGTCAAAATATTCTGAAGTCTCAAATGCATTTCTGAGTATGTTACAAGACTAACGTGAAATGCATTGGACTGAAAATGAAGAAAACTATCTTCCAACAGGCTAAAAAGCAAGAGAGCTTCACATCTTAAAACCTTTATGAATGACTTCAATTTCATCTTCAAAAGGTACATTAGTAGCTTCTGAATATCTAGCTTTTCTGACAAATAATACTGGGCCTGGTGAGGGGGAAAGGATAGGGACAGGAAAAAAGGACTATTTCAAAATCAGTGGAATTTAAAAAAAAAAATTAAAAACTTCTAAAAATTTTAAACACTTTAAATCCTCCTATTCACACAATCCATCTTCTGGAAATTCTGCCTTAAGTAAAAGTATTGGTAAAAGTTATTATCTTTAAAGCAAGTGTCCTCAAATAGTATTTAACTAAAATTGCATGATAGCTGATTATTTCATATCCTAAAAATCAGAACTTACTCAAAGTGAAAGGACCTGCCAATTCTGTTCGCTTGCTTATCCCGAGAGAAGTTTATAATTTCAAGCAATAAACAAACGAAAGTCACAATATTTAGGAAAATTATCTGAACAAACGCAAACCACAATCCCCACCCAAGCCCATCCTTCTGCTCCTGCAATCTAGTGAAGCTGGGGCTAAATTTGCAATTCCCATGCCATATATTGCAAACTTTTAAAACTAGCATAATGTTTACCTTGAGTCTTTTGGAGACTTGCTCATTTTCCAACAAAAAAAAGACACAGTAACAGCAAAAATCACCATTTGCTGTGTTTGGTGTTACATCTCTGAACACCCAAGAGTATTTTACAGTTGCTGCTTGATCTCTCTCAGCTGTCGACTGCAAAAAAATTATTTTTCCTATTCTATTAATGGAAGAAATAACTGTATCGCCCCTATTTTTTGAAAGGGAGCTCTGAAATAATTTTAACAGTACTTCATGATTTTATAGCAATAACTAAACAATAGCATTGCCAGCAAAAGAAAGAGAACAGAAATAGTAACTCGAGAGGTCTCCACAAGTCCTCTGTTCCTACATTGAAACCAGCAGCCAGTTCTATACCATGGTTACTCCTGGACAATTGCACTGCTGAAGTCTGAATTTCCCTTCCTGCTGTATCTGAACACTTTCTAATCTTCTTAATCTGAATATTTAATTCTAGTAGCTCTGGATATTTCACTGATATCTTTCACTCCCATTATCAAGTTTTAGCATTTTTCATCTATTTTCTCTTCCCTTTCTCCTCTGAATAAATTATTACCTTCACCCTACATTTCAAAGACAAGGGTTTGGGTTTTTTTTTTTTGTTTTGGTTTGAGGGTTTTGTTGTTGTGGAGGTTTTTTTGTTTGGTTGGTTTGGGGATTTTTTTTTCCCATTTGTGAACACAGAAGAAACGTCCAGAACTCAAGAAGCCCGAGAGAGTTGGGACTGTTCAGCCTGGAGAAGAGAAGGCTCCAGGAAAACCCTGTAGAAGCTTTCCAGTACCTAAAAGGGACTACAGGAGAGATGAGAAGGGTCTTTGCATGGGGACTTGTAGTGATAGGATGAGGGCTAATGGTTTCAAACTGAAAGATAATAGATTCAGACTAGATATTAGGAAGACATTTTTCATTATGAGGGTGGTGAGACACTGGAACAGGTTGCCCAGAGAAGCTGTGGCTGCCCCATCCCTGGAGGGGTTCAAGGCCAGGCTGGATGGGGCTTGGAGCAACCTGGTCTGGTGGGAGGTGTCCCTGCCCAGGGCAGGGGGTTGGAACTGGATGATCTTTGAGGTCCCTTCCAACCCAAACCATTCTACAATGACGAATTTTGGGACTACCCAGCTGACCTCTGCCTTAAATTTCCAATCACTCACATACTTGCTGATTACATTTTTCTTCCCACCAGCATTTTTCATGATTATTTTCAGCACTTCCTATCCTATGTATTTTGTACCATACAAAATACCTACGGTACGTATTTCACCCGCACCATACGTTACTGGTGAGCTCTGCTACACCAGCCTGGCTGTTGGGCAGCTGAAGGCAAGTCTTGCTTTAGGGAAAACAAACACAACCCCCAGAGAAGCTGTTCCCCCAGAGGGAAACGCAGCGAGTGCCAGTCCTGCGGGAACACGGCTCCTTTGTGTCTCGTTAGCAGGCTGAGTCAGTCCACGGAGCAGCAGATACCAGGGCTCCGCTCAAATCACCAAGGCAAGCACAGAGAACAGCTACTGGAAGCTGCTGAACAGAGGTGAGGTCATGGAGTTAAACTAAGCCATGACACAGCCTGCAGATTCCAGGACACGCCAGCCTTTGTCACTGGAAGAGCTCTGACAGAGGGACAACCCGCTGTTAAAGGGCCCTAATCTCTGCAGGCTTGACTCCTTCCTCCCCAAAAATCTCAAGTTTCTGTAAGACCCCATGGATTCTGTTTGCATAAGAGAAATGAAATCGGGCTGCTGAATGCTGGTAACCACCAGCTGGATTTCAGTTTGGCAGACCACCTTCACTGTCAGAATAAGCTCAAACAGGAAATTATTTGAAGTTGGTTGCCCCTTGAGAAGTTTCAGAACTCGCAACCAGAAGGGGATCTCCTCCAAACATATTTCAATTTGAATTCCTCATGCCTTCATCACTTTTTCTCCAAATGTGAAGACAAGTCTAATGAAAGCTATAGTGAAAAATAGCTGAATTGTGTTAGCTGTCTCTTCTATGAATGAGTGGGAAACACACTTCCCTGCCTAGAAATTCTGACCACGTTGGAGACACCCAGGTCCATCCCAGCATCCTGTTTTGCTGATCACCCTTCTCTTTTCCCTACCCCAAGCCTCCTGGCCTCTCCTTGCTCCCCTCTAGTCCTGCCCAGCCAAAAATCAGAGAGCGGAAGATACTTTGAGTTCTCATAAGAAACCTCACCTAAGGCCAAAGCAGTATTTGCCTGTTTACAAGGTGAACTGAGGACATATTCAGATACTCAAGATGATACACACACGTCAATCAAAAGCAGGAGCTAAGAGGTACGTCGGAACTGAGCCAACAGGAACAGCCTGGGGAGGCTTTGGCACCTCAGGAAGCATCTGCTAGGTGTCTGTACACTGAAGTTTTATGAAAAGATTTTTCCCTTGGCCAGCTTTAGGCAGGTTTCTATCCCTACTGGGAACAGCTGAAGTCACACTCACAATACAAGGGCACTCTTCACCAAAAAACAAGTCTCCACTTTAGAAGATTAGAGCAATACTCCATCCAAAAGAATGGATGGCCAGAAAACACACCACTAAGAACAATGCTTCCTCCCCACCTTCATTCTGAAAACAAATGAACAACCATTTTGGCTGATACTTCCTTCAAGTTTTGTATGATTTCTCATCAGCATTATACAATCAGCATCCTTCTTTACGCTGCAGTGCAAATACATGCCTTTGGTTGTGCCTGGCATCAGTCTGCCAGCCCAACTGTCTCAAATATACGTTGGATTTAGAAGAAAGGTGAGGAAGGAGAAGTAGGACCACGCATGAAGGCAGTATTCAAAGTGGTAGCCTCCTAACAAGTTACCCAGTGAAATAGGTAATTTGTCACATTCCGTATCGATTCACCCCCTGCTACTGTTTTACATTAACTTTATCCACCTTACTCCTTCTCTTGCCTAGTCTTAAATGATTTCAAAAGCATTTTGGAAAACCTAACAACATAAAACTTGCTTCCTTTTATTTATTTCTGCTGATATGCAGAGCAACCTTACAATAAATTTAGGAGACACTGATTCCCATTGGAGTTACTGGTTATTTCTTGCTGAGCCAAAAAGCACTGTACCCCATTCCATTTGCCTTTTTGCCACACTTTAGGATGTTGTCAAAGTCTCCCATCACTACCAGCCACTCCCGAGCTTTTCCTGTTAAGACTTCTATGTTGCTATACCACAATTTCACAGATTCTGATTACTGAAGAAAACTTAGAAGTGTCAGTAAAAACACAGTACAACACACTTTAATTCTACCAGATCTACCTCAAACTGACCTGCTATTTCCATCAGAGCTGCTATTTATACCATTTTCCTTTCTAATCGCAGAATAGCTACCTTTCTATCATACACCTAACAAATTTTATTATCCCATCAGCTTCTTTTCCCTTGTTTGCTTTCCTTCTCTTGGCTCGGTAAGCCTAAATAGATTTTCATTTCTACTAAGTCACATGATTTCATCACCACTAGGTGGGCAGTAGATGCAAGACGTAAGACAAAAACCAACCTAGAGAGAGTCAGAGAGATTAAATTGTTTCCTCTACCAGGGCTGAAGAGGATAAACAAGGAAACCACAGAAATCAACGCCTAGAATGGCACACAATGTATTTTTAAAAATCCTGAGCAGCTTAACCGTATGACCCCCTGCAGCAAGGAATGCCGCAGGTAGCACAAACAATTTCCTTTTGTTAAAAATTAACAAGAGTTACTTCTCTTACAACACACCAATATGGAGCTTTGCAGTTTGTATTACTGCTTACAGCTCCCTCTCTATTCCTTCTCTCTTGACCACTGATACCTGCTCTTCATAAACGCTCATTTTACGCACACCTTCTCACACCTGCCCATTTCTATGAACCCACTCCAGATAGCCCGTGTCTGCTCTACTGCAAAGCCTTCTAAAAAACCATTAAGCAAATAAGTATCTTTACCAAGGAAACAACAGTGTTGGCAAAAATTCTGTTACTAAAGAGCCTAACTGCTTGTCTTAGACATTTAAAGCAAAGGCTTTGGGGACAGAAGCAGATTAAACCCAGGCAGTGAGATCTTCCTAGTTTTCTCAGAAACCTCACCAGCTCAGGCAGCAGCATGAAAGAGCTGCCCTTAGAGAGGAGGGAGGGAAACTGCTGCCTCTGCAAT